GTGTCATCGGCATCAACTACTAAGGTTATTAGCCTCGTGTTCTGTGTAGGCTTTGTTACTGTTTTCCAGCGCCACTTTAGGAACAGCACTGGTAATTAGAACCCAACAGTGAATGGTCGAGTGGGGAATCCTATCAAGGCATCAGAATTAATTTTAAATAATTAAATTAAATGAAAAAATCCCGGCCAACGGTGGGATTCGAACCTGAGACCTTCCGATCTCAAAGTCATGACTCTAACCACTGAGCCAACCCACCCGCCATAGGTCAGTATTATTGGTAAATTTATTTTTGCTACACACAGAAAAAGGATTATTGAAAAATTTGCATTTTTTTCAGGAGTATATAGTTTTTTAAGGTTTAGATTTTGTGGATTTAAAATAATAATATAGATATATAGTGTTATAGATTAAAAATGTTTACCAAGCCATCAGCTTAAGAGTGTTAGGAGGAAGAGAACCTGTTTTATAAGCACGAATAGAAGAAAAGGCGGACAAACATATAAGATGTGCGAATAAGTATATCTTAAGATGATTTAAACAGTTTTAAACTGCCCAAAAGAAGCAGAGTAAATATTGATATATAAACTGGTTAAATATAATAATATTGTGATATTGTGTTTTAGAGAAATGTGGCCCATTCCAGGAGAAAGTTAAGAAACAATTAATTGAGGTATATTTCCTATCAACCCCCAAGTAGTGTTTACGACAGGACAAAATTAGATGAGATGAAGCCACAGCGCTACCACAAATTGGAAGGAGTTTGAGGTCACATGGGTCAACGTAGTTTCCGACCAGTCCTAAAAAACGCAGTTTGATGTCAGGACAAGATGTCCACGGGGAAAGAATAGGATCCAGAATGCTTTACCAAGGAGCAACGCCGCTTTGCCAGGGAGTAACGCCGATATCTTAGGAGAACGCTGTTCTACCAGGAAGCAATGCCGATTTTTTTAGGAGATCGCCGCTCTACCGCCGATTTATTAGAAAAACGAAAGGGGGTCTAAACCTCCAACTACAGGCCACAAAGAGCGATACAAACGCGTATTTCGAATGACAACTCACGTGACAAAATTTACAAAATAAAACATCAGGTAGTAGGAGACAAGTATTTAAGATTTTTTGAATATTTTATTATAATGGTTGCTATTACATGATAGGTAATATATTTAGGAGTTATAAGATATTTTTACGTTTTGTGTCATCATATAATTTTTTTGTAATAGTATGGATTATACGCAAGCCGAGGTGGCGCGGGACGCATTATTATAAGTAACCGACAATCCGTGCATTTGCAAATTTCCGAGGCGACACGATTAATGTGATATTAAGTAACCGACGAGTCGGGCTTATTTGTCGGGTACATATAGGTATTTGGTGAGCTATCAAAATAGTACACGGAAAAAAAATTGTAGAACAAATTTCTACAATTGTAGATTTTTTCTCTACAATAAATAGTACATATAGGGACAGGGACAATTTGTAGTAAAAATTTCCAAATATTTGTGGAGAATGTATTGTAGAGTTATTATCTACAATATTTAGTAAAAAGATCCAAATGCATCATAAGAATTGTTCTACAAATTGTTATAATTTTTGCTATTCATTGTATGAATTTATATTAAAAATGTATTGCGTTTTATGAAAATAAATACGAAAATTTTACACAATAAATAGTAAAAATTCATACAAATTGTAGTAATTTTTAATAAAATTTGTAGTAGTATTCCATAATTATTATAATTATAACCTAGAAAAAAATGTTCCTTAATAAAATATTCAATTTATTGTTTTAATATAAAAGATACAAATTCTTAATTACATTATGTAATAAATAACAGTAATAATAGCGCCCTCAGTCTCAGTTGGCTTTTCTGCACCTGAAAAATATGAAATAAAAATTAATACCAATTGAATTGTTCATACCCTTAAAACGAAGATATTTATCACCTTTACACTGATTTGGATATTAAATGACTAAGTCAGATATTTAACAAAAATGAGAAAGTAGGTATGTCACAATTACGACAAAAAAACATCATTGAACTTGGCACAAAATTCGATCGTTGGGCACAACATTCGATCGTTGGCCACAACTATTTTTTTAAAATAATCTACTAAGGTTATTTAAATTAGTTATCTAAAGGTAAATTATTCAGAAACAATAATAAATGTACTTACCACCGATAGAATTTATTATTAAAATTTTCTCAAACGCATCGGTGCTTATAATATAATAATGTGTTATAGGTACTCGTATATGTACCATGCTTTGTTATGTGAACATGGCGAACGGCTACTACTGTCTGGCCGTTTATGATCGACGTCAGAAAACGTTGGCCAATAGCAGAATTCTGTTTTGTTCACATGACTTTCTACAATATTATAGAATATTTTTGAAGAAGGGATGTAAAGTATTACTATTTTTTGTAGAGAAAATTACTATTTTTTGTAGAGATAATTATTAATATTTGTACAAATTTTTACAGAAGTTAGTAGTAGTAATTACGATAATTGTAATAAATTTCTACTTCTACAAACAATAGTAAAATATACTAAACATTGTGGACTTCTTTCCTATTGTTGTAGCATTTTATTCGACAATTCAATTGCTACAATAATTAATAGTTTTTAACTATAAATTGTAGTAAAATTTTCTACAAATTGTTAAGTATTTTTCTACAAGTCTACTACTACAACATTGTAGTAAAATTTTCTAGTCACATTTTTTTCCGTGTATTTAGTAACCGATGATTTAGCCTGACTCATCGGTCACATAGGGATGACCATTCTTGCGTAATAACTTAATAAAAATACAATACTTAATACAAATGCTTATATTAATAGTATATTACAGTCAAAGTAGAATTTTTCATTTGTTTCTTCTATTGACTGACCTTTTAAAACACAGGTTCCCAAAGAATTGGTCAACTAATACTGGTAAACACTAACCTAATAAAAATGCATGGGAAAACCGTCAAATTGTAAATAGTTCATAATATGAACTATATTGTGTACAATCAACTGTTAAGATACATATTATCATGCAAAAACACTTAACAACACCATAATAATACGGTGGTTAGTGTATACTCAATAATTTAAAATTTACAACCATGCTTTTTAAAAGCCTACTGTCCTATGATGTAAAACAAGAAAAAATGTTTTTATAATAATAATAATAATTAATAATAATAATAATAATAATAATAATAATAATAATAATAATAATAATAATAATAATAATAATAATAATAATAATAATAATAATAATAATAATAATAATAATAATAATAATAATAATAATAATAATAATAAATAATAATAATAATAATAATAATAATAATAATAATAATAATAATAATAATAATAATAATAATAATAATTAATAATAATAATAATAATAATAATAATAATAATAATAATAATAATAATAATAATAATAATAATAATTTCTAGAATAGTGACACCCAACGAAAGTCTTGCTGTTGAGGCCGACTGTCGTTGAGACACACCCGGCGTAAATTCCGGTGGAAAAAAAAAAAAAAAAAAAAAAAAAAAATAATAATAATAATAATAATAATAATAATAATAATAATAATAATAATAATAATAATAATAATAATAATAATAATAATAATAATAACAATAATAATAATAATAATAATAATAATAATAATAATAATAATAATAATAATAATAATAATAATAATAATAATAATAATAATAATAATAATAATAATAATAATAATAATAATAATAATAATAATAATAATAATAATAATAATAATAATAATAATAATAATAATAATAATAATAATAATAATAATAATAATAATAATAATAATAATAATAATAATAATAATAATAATAATAATAATAATAATAATAATAATAATAATAATAATAATAATAATAATAATAATAATAATAATAATAATAATAATAATAATAATAATAATAATAATAATAATAATAATAATAATAATAATAATTAATAATAATAATAATAATAATAATAATAATAATAATAATAATAATAATAATAATAATAATAATAATAATAATAATAATAATAATAGTAATAATAATAATAATAATAATAATAATAATAATAATAATAATAATAATAATAATAATAATAATAATGCCAATAAACCAGATATAATAATCAAAGATCTAGGCCAAAAAGTCTGCTATATTATAGATATCGCAATACCATCGGACAATACAGTTACCCAAAAGGAAGCAGAAAAGAGACTGAAATATAGAGATCTACAAATAGAACTAAGTAGGATGTGGGGCTTAAAGACTACAATATTACCGGTTATCATAGGAGCAACAGGAACAATCCATAAAAACTTTACAAATATTCTTAAAACTATACCTGGTAACGCTGACCATAGAACAACATACCAGCTGCAAAAAACAACAGTATTAGGAACAGCACATATATTAAGAAAAGTAGTAACATAGTTGTAACAGAAGAGTCTCTACCTGAGGAAACAAGCAGTTTCTTGGAAGAAGACCAAATATACCCGAAAAACAACGAAATCGGAGAAGAAAGAAAAATAATAATAATAATAATAATAATAATAATAATTAATAATAATAATAATAATAATAATAATAATAATAATAATAATAATAATAATAATAATAATAATAATAATAATAATAATAATAATAATAATAATAATAATAATAATTAATAATAATAATAATAATAATAATAATAATAATAATAATAATAATAATAATATTAATACTAATAATAATAATAATAGATAGATAGATATTTTATTGACATTTTTACATACAAAAGTATGGAATGGCAAAGAACTTCACGGCAGACACCCACACGCTCTTAACGCCGAATACACTGACACAGAAGCTTCCAATGCATGGCTTAGAGGAGGTAGCCTGTTCCCTGAGACCGAAGGATTCCTGTGCGCCATCCAGGACCAGGTCGTTGCCACCAAGTCTTACCTTAAATATATAGTTAAGGACAATACAATAGTAAATACCAAGTGTCGGATGTGCGGTGAAGGAAATGAAAACATAGAGCATCTTATCAGCGGATGCAAAACTATGGCGCCAAAGGAATATACAACTAGACACAACAATGTCGCAAAAATTATTCATGATGAAGTATGCTACAAACTACAACTCTCTGAAGCAAAAACTCCGTATTATAAATATACACCAGATACGATAAAAGAGAATGACGAGTACAAGGTATATTGGGATAGAGAGATACAAACCGATAGGCAGGTGCAACACAACAGACCAGACATTCTCATTAACAACAAAAAAACAAATGAGATACTACTCGTAGATATAGCGGTACCAGCACCTTTAAATATGCAAAAAAAAAACAAAGAAAAAGCCGAAAAGTACCTACCCCTAGCTGAGGACATGAAACAAACCTGGAATGCAACGTCAGTCAGAGTTGTACCCATAATCGTAGGAGCAACTGGTGAAATTCCGAAGAACCTAAAGAAACAACTTGAAATAATAAACTTACCAGCAAATACTTACCTAAACCTACAAAAATCTGTTATTCTGTCAACCTGCAATATAATGAGAAAAATATTAAATCAAAAATCAACGCCATAAGAACAATACGCACCTATGAGTCTTGTAATGAAAATTACCGGCTCCTAGTGAAACTCCGTACCTGTACGTGAAAAAAAAAAAAATAATAATAATAATAATAATAATAATAATAATAATAATAATAATAATAATAATAATAATAATAATAATAATAATAATAATAATAATAATAATAATAATAATAATAAAAATAAAACATTTACTAGCTATAACTGAAAGATTCTCATGCGATATTCAAATGGAATTTGGGTTAAACAAATGCAAGTGCTTAAACATCGAGAAAGGAGTCGTTATGAGTGGAGACGTGGTATTACCTAATGGTGACATCATAGAAGCCATGGAGAAAGGCGAGACTTACAAGTACTTAGGATATCAGCAAGCCAGGCTACTAGATCATAAACAGGCAAAAGAAAGGATAAGAAGTCAATTTACCCAAAGAGTAAAAGCATTAATTAAAAGCAAATTAAATGCAGGTAGTCTAATACAGGCCATCAACTCATATGCTATACCGGTCTTAACCTATTCGTTTGGAATACTACATTGGAGCAAAACTGAATTGGAAGAAATTCAGAGGTTGATGCGAACGATGATGACTAAAAATCACTCTCACCATCCAAGATCATCTGTAATTCGAACCACTTTACCCAGAAAGGAAGGTGGAAGAGCCTTAATTGATATTATTAACCTACATACTAGACAAACGGGAAAATTAAGAGATTTCTTTTTCAGTAAAGCAGAAAGCTCTAGTCTACATAATACGGTTATAAAGGCTGATAAGAAATATTCGCCATTAAACCTCTCAAATACTGATATCAGCTTGGAAACATTAACAGACATGGAAAAACAAGAACAATGGTCACAGAAAGAGCTCCACGGCCGACACCACCATGATATTAACCAGCCGCATATTGACAAGGAAGCATCTAATAAGTGGCTTACTAATGGCACATTATTTCCCGAAACAGAAGGGTTCCTAATGGCTATTCAGGACCAGGTAATTAACACCAATAATTACAAAAAATATGTAATTAGGGACCCAAACACCAGTTCGGACAAATGCAGAAAATGTAAACAAGTACCAGAAACGATACAGCATATAACATCTGGCTGTAGTACGTTGGCTAATAATGACTACCTACGGCGGCATAACCAAGTATGCAACATTATCCATCAGAAGTTGGCTAACAAGTTCGGACTGCTTACCACATATACACCATACTACAAGTATCAACCAGAGAAAGTACTAGAAAATGACAATTATAGACTCTACTATGATAGGACTATTATCACCGATAGGCAGGTGACGAACAATAGGCCTGATATCGTGGTGGTGGATAAAAAAGTCAAATGTGTACTTCTGGTAGATGTCGCGGTCCCGAATAACAACAACGTTCTGACAAAACATCAAGAGAAAATAGCCAAATATGCTGAACTCGCTTTTGAAGTAAAACAGATGTGGAAAGCAGAGAAAGTAGAGGTAGTACCGCTTATAATATCATCCACGGGTCTCGTCCCGAAAAATCTGCAGGAAGGTCTTAATAAACTGGGAATTCATAAAAACACTTTTATAGACATGCAGAAAGCGGTAATTTTAAATACGTGCCACACCGTACGTAAATTTCTAAACGAGTGAGGAGTAGGCTCTCCCCCATTGGTAGCAGTACCCGGGCTGAGTCAAAATTCCAGTAACCACTGAGTAAATATATAATAATAATAATAATAATAATAAACACTATTTTAAGATGAATACATTTTTGTATTTTTTTTGTCATTGCCCCTTACCTGTCTCTTACACCACCAGGGAATATCTATTTTCCATATTCCCTTAATTATAGATTACCTTACAATACTTGAATGAATATAACATTTTACCCATGAAAAATCTAATTTTGAATTTAACTCTTTTTCAATTTCATTTGAAACAATTGTTATACTACAATTTATTATCAAGGAAATCTTCTAATAAAGTTATAGCAAATCCTACTTAAACTACTGGTTCTTCTGCAGGATAAATTAACTTTTCTTGAGATTGATCTCTTTCTAAAATCCAAAACCGACCTGATGTCCCAACATTTATTTTCCAATGCATCCTGATTTAAAATCCTGCCCTTTTTTGATTCAATTTTTTTTTCTTCGTTTAGAGTGGCTATTAGAGGTAGGTGTATGTAAGAAATAGCCAATCTCTAATCATTTCAAAAGTACTTTGCCAATACTACATGTGCAGATTTTTTAATCCACATACATTTTACTTTTCTAGTAGGTAGGAACTTTGTGCTGCTATTAAAGCTGTCCAGACATTCATCTACCTACTTAATGAACAAAAGTAGCTGTAACAATCGATCTCTGTTCCAATTCACCTAAAATAACTATAGCCATTTTGTAATATATTATTAAACACACAAATTATACAGTGGTTTTCTTAATAAATTGGAAATTAGTTACCTCTAGAAAGAAATGTGTACAAAAACGCGAGTTTGGTTCCAGAAATTGCTTCATGCAAAAAATAAACATTCCCCCAAAGAAAATTAATTAAACAACAAAATCAGACTCAAAGATATAAACGGGGCCCAAATTAAATTAATTTTAATAAAATGCACACGTTCATAATAACATTCATAACATTGTCAGTTGTTAGTTTTAATCGATACGTCGACGTCAAAAAACCAGCAACATCAGCGACCTCTAAGATTGATGTTAGTTTTATTGGAGGGAGATGAATATATGTAAAGATCAATGTAAAAGAGAAAGAAAGTCATATATGTAATTTAAATGGACCACCGAACAAATTTTCCTCTTGTTACACGTCTTTGTTGTTTCTGATGTAGCCGACAAGTGAATCTGACTCGTCGGTTTCTTAATATCACATCAATCGGTTGCCCTCGGAAATTTGCGATTACACGGATTGTTGGTTACTTCTTTGTTCCAACACACACACAAACCGTAATATTACGGTCATCGTCATGCGCAGTAAATAAAAACCGTTCGACTTTGGGCTTAATTGATAGGTTTTTATTTACTGCTCATGACGATGACCGTAATATTACGGTTATTGTGTGTGTTGGAACAAAGCTTTATAAAAATGCGCGCGGGACACTGTGATTTGTATGAAATACACTTCTGTAACGCGGATTTAGAATTCTTTACCGTACTTTTTACAATTAAATTATTAAATATATATGTTATTTAATCGTGCACAACTATTATGTGTATAGTACAGAACATGTTGAAATATATTTAAGAAAAAATAATCGTAATTTCCTTGTTTTTTTTTACTGACTGGTGAAGATACCTTTTTGTAGGTTAAAAGGAAGAACGACTCACTCCCAAGATTTGGTATAAAGAGTGTTGGAAAACAATGCCCTAACTGCAATCCAGGTATATTTAAATTTTTATATTTTTTAGGAAATTTGTATAGAAAGGAAATATTATAAAAAAAAATATAAGATAAATCTTATGCGAATGTTGGTATTCACTCGTATAAAAACAATTGTATTCCGGGTCTTTCAAACCGTAATAGTCCGTTCTTTTGTGAAGCAACTTGGAAATCATGTTCCGTATTACAATTGCTACATAATTCATTTAGGAAAAATATAGAGGAAAGCTCGGGACCACGCTCACAAAAGGTTATATATAGATATATCTAAACTCGGCTCGCTGCTCCAGACAATTGCAATTCCGTTTTATTAATATATTCTTCCTTTTAATTCTGAGTTTACTTTTAATTACTAAAAAAAAATAAAATTTTGGATAATTAAACTTGCACCAAACAGCAACTCAATTGGAAACTGATCGGAATTTTAATTAGTTTTTAATACTCGTAATCTCAGAACTACTTCAACGTGCTTTCTAAAGATTAGTTGATGGAGCGATTCATTTTGAAATATTGTTTTCTGATACTACATCTTAAATTATATTAAGCAAATATTAATTATAAAATTATTGCTTTCGCTGTTCTTCCTTCGCCGTTTCTTTGCATCCTAATCTATTTTAAAATTATTTTATCGAGTTTATTCCTCTTAAATAAATAAACAAAAATGTTTATGAACTAAGAGCATAGCAAAATACGCATTGGAAATTATACCATCCGACTGAAAAATGCATCCAATAGGCACACATTAAATATAACGTTGTACGGTATAAAAAACGTTATTGATTGAAAATTCAATGTTAATATTTTAGTTGAAAAATTATACGTTTAAAAAATACTACTTTCTAACGTATTTTTGTTGCTATTTTCAACTAAATATTGAAAATTTAATAAAATAATAGGTTTTTTATAATATTATTTTCTTGTTTATAATTAACGTTTATTTTTTATTTCGCCTAATACTATATTAAAATCTATAGTTGATTTTTTTGCAATAAATACGTATCTAATCAACATTATGTTATGTCAGCCATTTCAATATTCAGTCATACTCTAACCCTCCAAGTCCCTCTCTGTCTTATTTGGCCTTTGAGGCTCAACTAGAAAATGACGGTTTGGATCCGGAAACGTTTCTATTTTCGGATGATACATCTTCTATAATTTCTTCAATTTCCGATATGAAAAACCTAGTGAAAAACGATATTTCTTCTGATATGTCTTCCATGAAAACCGATATTTCTTCTAACATTTCCTCCTTAATAAGTAAAGTTTCTTCAGACATTTCCTCCTTAGAAAGTAAAGTTTCTTTAGACAGTAAAGTTTCTTCCTTAGAAGAAAAGGTGTCTTCTGACATATATCTTCTTTAAAAACAGAAATTTCTTCTGACTTGGAAAGCAAAATGTCTTCTATGGAAAATAAATTTTTGTCTACAATACTTCTCCTGGTTATGACCAAATTAAATACCTTATGCTCTTTAATTTACCAGACACTGCTAAAAACCTACTTTTAAAAATATTTAATCAAACAATAATTGAAGGCATTAACATAGAAGTATTTAAAAAAATTATTGTTGTACCCGTACCTAAATCAGGGAAGAACCCTAACTTAGCTGAATCTTATAGACCCATATCATTGCTTTCATGTGTTCTTAAA